ATTGTTATACTAAAATTGAATGGGCTATAAAACTCCATGCTCAAATTTTTTTTATATATTCTTGTTAAATTGTTCCAAATTTCGTACAATATTGAAACTTGGATTTATATGCTTTTTAAAAATTCATTATTATATTTTTATACTTTCAAACTTACTCTATGTCATAGTGAAATAACATTATTTCACTATGCTCTATGTAATAATTTTTCGAAATTTTCGTTTGCGACAGTGAACATTGTAGTTGATTATTTTATTTAGCGCCCTCATCCTGACAAACATACGTGTCCGGAAAAATAACTTTTTAACGCGTTCATTGTAGTTAATATGTTCGGCTTCTTTTATATGTTCTGCAATGAAGTTAGTCATCGGTGTCAAGCCGTCAACATTTATATCGTCGAACACTTTCTTCAATAGCAGGATATGCGCCATCAGCTTTTCCGTTGGCTTCGAAAGGCCACCTTCTGTAAGGTGATTTACCCACGTAAAGTTCTCATCGGTTCCTTCAACCCTTATCGCTGGTACTATGCTATGTAGTTTGTGGCATATGTAGCCCGCAATATTTTCTAGGCCGTCGTTCTCCAGCTGGACCAATTCTTCTTCCTCTTGCTCGTGAATTTCCGCAGTGTCTGTATCCGGACTCAGCGCAATTTTATTGAACATAATGCCTTAGTAAAAACAAAATTATTAACAAGGTAAATAATTACTTTTTAATACCTTTCTACAATACAAACAACTTTCTTTAATACATACAGATGCGATCAAATAATTAGCAACGAAAATCAATGATATCATAATGATCTATACCTGTTCAAGAGTTACTTTCCAACTCAATATCCGGAGTGTCGTCGACAGAAACGTTTGCACTGTCCGACAGTACACCCTCATTAAACGCTAGAATATAGGAGCGCAAGCGATACTTAAATTGTTCGCGATCGGGGTGATCGTTCAACCCTCCTTTCGTCCGAATCACGCCGGATAAATTTTCAAGGACATCTTGATTCAACCTGTACGTCATTATGTACTTCAGGTTGAAGCGACTTTTCATGTCCTCATACAGCAATTTCAACGCCAAATTGGGTTGAATGATTCCTGAAAAGTTATAACCTTGATATTTGAAACCGCTTGTATCAATAATCAGATTTAAACCTTTCTAAAAAGGCAACAAATTTATCTTGCCAATGACTCGCATATGTTGAACCATTTGTGTCATTTGGTTAAGTATGTCATCTTGCACATCAAGGGCTAACCCGTACGCATGTGTCCGTGGCCTAGAGTCAGGATACGGAGCCCGCACATTCATGACATCGAACCAGTCGTTTGTCTTTGTAAAAATATTTTATATAAATAATTTGATTAAATAAAACATAATTTATGTCAGAAAATGATTTACCAGTTTAAAAAGCTTATGTGACTCCTCCCAATTGTGCCCGCCTAGGTACCCCAGGCTTGCGGCTCGTGTTATTGCTTGCGCAATGGTATGCGAAAATAGCTTCGTTGCCATTTTGACTTTTTGCCTCTGGGGACCGTACACATTGAGGTAGCTGCTGTTTATTTTATGCGTGATGGTGAGCTCAGAGGAAGTGCAGGACAGTAGCTCGACGATTACATCTCGTTTCACTTCCTTACCATCTACAAAAAAGCCACTATCTAGGAAATGGTTTCGTATCAATTTGATTAAGTGCGGCGCATCCGCAAAAACAAATATTTTTTCATCGTTGTGAATGAACCTGAAAATAATAAAGTTTGTTTGAGGAATTTAACTGAAAATTATCACTTTATTAGTTAGAATATTAGTATTAGTGTACTTCTTAATATATTGAGTACTAACCACGGATTGTCCATTTTCACATCAAGTTCGTTGAACAAAGCCCGGTTTGTACCACCTAAATTGCTTACAATAGCGACAACGGGGTATCCGCATGCCTTTACATTGTCGAGTATGTGAAACAGGATCTGTGGTGTCATTTTACAATCAAAATCGTAAAAGACCGGTTGTTTCCATCAAGCCTGCAGGAAAATTAATTACGGCAATTAAAATAATATGTCATATGTAAAATACATACCTCGCATCATGGCTACTTGAACAAAGTCTACCGGTTCGTACAAAGTGTCAGATCCTTTGTCGAAGCAATACGCCTTCCGCACCTTCATTTCGTCAAAGCTTAATACACATATCCGTTGGACACAGTCGAGCTGATTTGCAGAGGACAACATTTTTACGACGGGCTCCAAGACACCAGTAGTAAAAGTAAGTTTCTTCGCCCACCATTGAAGCGTGCTGGCGGAAGGAAGGGGAAACCCCTTTTTCTTAACCATTTGTAGACTTAAGCGCTAGTCGAATATAGCGTAATAGAGCGCGAAACATCTTCTTCACTCCACGTTAGTAACCTTTTCCCTCGTTTCAACTTGTCGATTTGGCCTGCCGTAAAAATATTTTTGAGCTTCTCCACAATATTGTTGTGTTCGAACACAGCTAACATTTGTGCTTTAGCACTTTTTGAGCTTCTCTGAGGCTACAATCTTCACGCGTTAGTGACTCCCTTTGAAAAAGGAATCAGTTATTTAACGAATATGTTACATAGAACATTAACGTATGAAACTCACATTTTCTGCTCCAACTTGACGTTATCGATTTTTTGAGCACTCTCGTAATCTCTGGTTTTCGCACTTAAGCGCTCCACTGGAAATGAACAAATAATTATATTAATGATGACAATTTACCTACTTTATATCCATGTATTTACATTTTTGGTTTGAGCCGTTTTTGCGATTCTTTTGCTCCAGATTGCAGTGCCTCACTGTAACCGATATAAACATATTATAAGCGTAATTTAAATTTAAAAGTACATACAGTATCGGTCATATCTATAGCATACCATTTCAAAGTGATATTGTGTGCAACTTATGTTTATTTATTTTTGAGAATTTTCAATTAAAATACAGTTCTTTCTCTAACGAACCCCGTATAAACCAGGGCTGCACAATAACGTTAATTTTATCAATAAACGAAAATTCAAAATCGTTTTGGTATTTTACATCGATAATGTTAACATTATGTGTTTATCAAAAAAAAAATCGTTTTGTTAATTATCAGAAAAATATGTCAACAAAAAATTTTGTTTCGTTGATTATCAAAAAAAATATCAAAAAAGGAAAATTTTTTCTGCCGCAAACATAAAATTTAATAAACAGGCAAATTTTATTATTTGAAGCAATTGCGGGAATAATGGGTCGTAAAAAAGTAGGCGAATTAGTCCGATCGTGCTTTTTAGTTGGAGAGGGGTTATTTGTGTGCAAATTTTGCCAAACGAAATTAACAAGCGATCACTTGGGAAATTTCAAAAGCCATTTGATCAGAAGACATAAGGAAGCCTTTGGAAGGCTTCAGGACGAGCAAGTGCAGCAGCAACAAGTACAGCAAAGCGAAAATGCTGACGACCCAGCAAGAAAAAAAATTAAAATTGAGCTTGAGCTAAGTGAAAACGACGTGCAAGATATTTGCGCGGGTTTCGTTACGGAATGCGGTGTAGCCTTAAGATTTTTTAATACCAACACTTTTCAAAAGTTATTTACGCCAATATGTCGACAATTAAGTTTGCACAAAATTACCCGTAATAATATAGGGGAGATTTTAATGCAAAAACATACAACTGAAGTTAACAATTTAAAAACAACACTAAAAAATCGCATAATATCTATAAAAATTGACAGTGCCCAGCGGCTTTTTCGTAACGTGGTATGCTTAAATGCGCAATATTTACTAAATGGAGAAATTACCATAAAAACGTTGGCAGTAAATAATTTTCGTGAAAAACACACCGCAAGAAACCTAAAAGAACTAATTTTGAAAAGTCTAGAAAGGTATGTGTCAATAATTACTTGATATTAAAGATAGCAAAGCGTTTTTTGTAGCATTAGCGTTTTCTAATTTTAAAATTAATGTACATACATACATAATTAATTATCTAACTTTTGTTGAAAATTCAACATTCAAAGTTTATTTACTTATTACTTTAACTTAATAAATTTCAATAGATATGATATCACAATTAGTCAAGTGTACAGTATCACAAGTGATAACGGCAGCAACATGGTCAGCTGCGGAAACCTCCTGCAACACGAAAGTAAGGAAGTAGAAATGCCTTTACTAAATCCATCAGAAGATGTCGACGATGCCTTTTTTGAAAGTTTCGAAACCATTTTTGAAGATCTAGAATTCGACACTTGTGTTTCGCAAAATTTTCGTAAGCAATTAAATAATAATAATAGTAGCAATAAAACTACATAGTTTACAGTACTATAAAAAAAGAAGAAAAATGAAATAATATTAACTTAAAAAATAATAGAAAAAAAACAAAACAAACAAATTAAATTAAAAAAATAAAATATCAATCCTAATAAAAAAAAATAAATAAAAAAATATTAAAACCAAATATAGATAATTAAGAAAAAATAATAATTGTAATAAAATATATAATAATAATATAAAAAAAACAAAGTACAATTAAATTAAAAAAAAAGTAAAATAAAATAATAGTAAAAATACAATAAAATAAAAAAAATAATTAAGTAAAATCAAATAAAACAAAACAAAACAAAACAAAATAAAATAAAATAAAATAAAATAAAATAAAATAAAATAAAATGAAATATATATGTATATAAATCAAATAATTTTCTTAAACTGTAGGCTAGTGTTATAACAGCTATATTAATAATAGTATTGTGTACATTACATAATTTTATTTTTAGAGTCAATTGTAGTTATACGATGTGCCGCGCATACCATACAGCTAAGCGTAAACGACGTTTTTAAAAATGAAGAAATTAAAAACTGTTTTAGAGAATGCCGCAATGTAGTGCGAAAGCTGCGTACGCCAGCAATGCACAGACTCATATCGTCACAAAATTTATTGCCTCCCACAGCTGATTGTCCAACTCGTTGGTCTTACTCGTATGAGTTACTTAAACGGTTGAGAAACTTAGACACATTCATCTCAGAAAATATGAAAGAAGCCAATATTAACTGGTCATTTGTAGATGAATTTTTAAGCAGCTTCAGCATAATTAAAAAGACAACCGTAAAATTGCAAGAAAAAAATTTGCTATTTGGAGACTTCATTAAAACCTATTTGGAAATGATTCTTGTTGTAAAGAAAGAAGCGGACAAATATCACATTTCCAAACTTTTGTTGCAGTCTTTAAACCAGAGGAAAGATAACTTGCTCCAAAACCCAACCGTGGCGGCAGCAATCTATCTTGATCCGCGACTGAGACGGTTACTCCACAGTCCAGAATTCGCACCTTTAAAATCAGTTGCAGTAGCGCATTTGAAGGCTCTCTACTTAAAAATTCATGGGAATGACAACAATGTATGTACATATATATGTTTGATCTCTATGATTTGAAATATAAAGATACAATTGCAAGTATTCTGACATCTTTTTGCAGACGCAAGAGCCTGCTGCTAATTCAAGTAGTGAAGTACATGAAGACAGTGACAATCTGCTTGTCACACTACTAAACCAAATCTCCCAATACGAACCAAGAAGCGAAAATACCACAGAGGCATTTTCAATCATAGAAGCATTCAATGAAAATTGCGATTTGAAGGCCAATTTAGCAGACTATTGGGAGTCAAAAAAATTTACTCACAGTACCAGCTATACAAAATTATTCATGCAACTCCCGCTACGCAAGTTAGTGTAGAGCGGGCGTTCTCCACTTTAAAATATATAATTAATGACTATAGGTCAGGTTTGAGTGATGATATCACTGAAGCGATATTAATGTTACGGCTCAATTAGTTTTCGCATAATTTCTTAACAGCGTTTTGTTTACTATTTGTTAATTATTTAATAAAAAGAAATCCCATAATGCTACGTACTCCTACATAAATTTTGCTTACAATTTTCTTCTTAAACAATGAAACAAAAAAACTACTGATATTTCCTTTTTGATAATCAACGAAGCGAAATTTTTTTCGTTAAAATTTTTTGATAACTAACGAAACTATTTTTATTTTCATATTTTGTTTATTCATAATAAGCAAATGAAATTTTTTGATAAGTTGTTTTTTTAATAAATAACGAAACGAAATTTTTTTGTTTATATAGTTATGCAGCCCTGGTATAAACCCACGTTTAACAATTTGTAGAAAACTTCAAAAAAGTGCAACAAATTTTCACCTAAATTTCAAACTTTTTTCTCGGAAGTGTTTGAACTTTTCTGAATACACAGTTTTATAGCCCAATCAATTATAGTCTGACAATGTGCAAGTTTCAAGTGACTGAAAGTTACCGGTGATTTTTTAGAATTTTTTTCGCCAAAGGTGTTGCGGTTTTCTTCCATATACAAATAAATTGAGTTTATTCATTATATGGAAGCCAATGCGACAAAAAAAATTCTAAAAAATTAACGGTAATTCGTAGCCACTTGAAATTTGCACATTATCAGACTAAAATTGCAGTGGCTAAAAAACTGTGTACTCAAAAATATTCTAACACTTCCGAGAAAAAAGTTTGAAACTTAGGTGAAAATTTGTTGCCATTTTTTTAAGTTTTCTACAAATTGTTAAACCTGGGTTTATATGGGGTTTGTTAGAGAAAGAACTGTATTTTAATTGAAAATTCTTAAAAATAAATAAATAAGCATAAGTGGCACACTATATCACTTTGAAATGGCGTGCTATAGATATGACCGATACTGCATGTGTTTAACTTACATTTTCTGTTCTAAGCAAGCCAAACTATTTACGAATGGAACTTCGTTTGTCGCAGTATCCAGCAATGGCAATCTTGAAGGCGGCATAATATTTTCCTGCTCTACAAATTGCTCGAACTCTACCTGCTTGGACCGTACACCGTTAATTATTGAGACATTGCCATTTTTCTGGGCCACCCGGTCTGGTTCAACTTCCAGCAATGGCAATCTGGCCGGGGCTGGTGCCGAAGCATTTTCCTGGTCTATCATTTCCACGAAGCTTACAGCCTCGAGGAATTCATCAAAGTTTACCTTGTCGGATTGTCCACCGTTAATTGTAGGGACCGCGCATTTTTTAAGGACCGCCCGTCTCGCCAAATCTGGAAAGTAAGCTAAGCTCATGACTGTTTCTTTAAAAGATCAATTATGTATTGACCGAATTTATGAATGTTTCTTTACAAACAAAAACAATTAGGGACTTACCGAACTCAAACATCCTACCATTTCTCCCAGGAGAAAGTGCTTGCTGCAAATCTTGGCATCCTTGCCCACAACGCTTTGGCCACAAAACCGTATCCAGTGCTTCAGCAAGTTACCCTCCTTTGGAAAACTATGAAAACTTACCGAATTCTTCATGTATGTGCTTTCGCATCCGATAACAACGCAATTCATTTTATATTTAAAAGAATTATTAAAAAATCACACCACAAACGTAAACAAACTACCAAAACGAACGAACGAACGAATGAAACAGAACTAATTAAAAAATGACGTCATCAACTATTTTTTTCTCAAATTCAATTACAAATACACGGTTGCCGTGCTGGGTGATCTGTTTTTTTGGTTCATGAGCACATACTATTTTTTAATCAATTTAAACTTTATTGATTTATTAATAAAAAATATTAAATTGGTACGCATTTCATGATATTGAATTATTTTTAATAAATAGACTACCAATATAGTTAGAAATTGTTCCTCTATAAACAAAGAGGTGAATATAATAGCCTTTGGCAATATACATTGCATAAAATGGGTTAATACACGTACACGGCTATTGTTTTCCCCTTTCGGTTTTAAATTTTTACCCCGCATCAAGCACCTGCTTGCCCGCGCTGCTGCGCGCGAGCTGTTTTGACGCCCATCCCTATTATAGACCATACTGTATCCAACAACCCGCTATCGCAGACAGTGGTGAATGGAGGTATAATTTAATTAAGCTCAGGCATGGGCAGAGAACGAGCACACGCTCAAAGAGCATAACCATCACGTGTACGTATACAAGAAAGAGCGTAACGATGGAACGCGTCAGCATGCAAAATGAATTAAGCACACTAACACATTCTCACTTTTAGCGATCGCTTGTTTGATTAAGCTAGACCGGCGTCACACATTTGTGTCGGCGGTTCCACGTGAAAACCCAGCTGATACATATATGTGACGCCTGGTAGCGAACGTGTTTTTTAATCATGATTCAATAATACAAGGTTCGATAAACTGACAGTAGTCTCTCTCGCACCGCTCCCTTAGCAGTGGCACCGTGTTGCTTCTTTGCAAATTTACATGGAAACAGTGTAGCTTTGGTGTGAAATAAAAGTATAAGCTTTTGTGCAATGTTTATTTGTATATGAATATGAAGCATATTTAACTGATGAAAACATAAGCCTTGGATGTTTACATCGATCTCATAGTAGTCTTGTTTTAATTTTGAGTCATTTTGCAGTTTTTATACAGCTAAATAGCATATAAATTACGTAAATCACGTAGATATATCAATATTACGTTCAACATTTCGTTTAAAATGCCAGATTTCCTGCAGATACATTTGAATTTACAAAAGGAATTTCACTACTAATTGCCTACTTTGCGTACTTTTCTACTACCATTTTCGCAACAAGGGATTCCATTCTTGCCCTTTCTCTGTCCTTCGTAAATGCAACCTTTTGTAAGGGAGTGTCAAACCCCAGCTGTCAATAATTATCTAACGTTGTATTATTGAATTATGTTTTTTTAATAATAATGGCTTTGTTTCGTTTCTTTTCTAGCAGATAATTATCAGGAAGAATAAGAATGAGGAAATTGAAAGAATTACGCTCACAGAGAGCGAAATAACGAAAAAGTAAAGAAACGCAAAACTAGCAGAAACTAGCAAGTAATCAGCTGATTGGTGTATTTGACTATTGAAAGTATTTGGCGCGAATATTTGTTTATCCATTTTGACAGCTGCTAGTTTCTGCTAGTAAAAATTTTACTAGCAGAAATTAGCAGGAGAGCCAAAAAAAGAAGAGCGTAAGATCGAGAGAGAGCTGCTAGTTTCTGATAGTTTTTTGGGTTAAGAAACGCTTTCCAGCAGAAATTAGTGATAATTTCTGATAATTATCAGTCGAGAAACAAAGCTAATATCCCAACGGTTTTTACCCTGCATTCCCGCCCATCCGCACGAGGGGCGCAGTCCGCATGACGTACGGAACCAGTATTTTCAATTTTTGCGCCGAGTCACGATAGGCAGGAGTTTGTTTAGTGTCGAGATCTAAAACTGTTCAGCTACAGAACTAAATTCATCAGCCGATTTTATGTCTTCATTTTAATGATTCATTTATTGAGAGAGGACAGTATCAATTTCTTAATGCTGAAAAGCGGATCTGATATATCAAGCGTGCTGGAATGAGAGTTAAAATCCTGGCATAAGCAACGGAGTGGGTCGTGCAATTCAAAATTAGTTTTACAAGCTTTCAGAAATAGGGGACAAAAGTGTCTTGATACCCGGGAGGAAACATTAAGGTTTACTTCGCCAAGAAGAAGCGGACTTGAAATTGAGCGTGTTAGTAATTTAACTTTGTAACTTAACTTAAATTGTACCAAGCATTTGCTTGCGGCTGGAAAGTGTAGGAAGATTAATAAGTTTTAATCGGCTCGTATAAGGTGGAAGGTTATATTGAGAATCCCAACGGAAATTTCTTAAAGCAAAAAGTAGGAAGTGTTTTTGAATTGATTCTATCTTGTCTGAGTAAATTTGATACCTTGGACTCCAAACCACCGAACTGTATTCCAGAATTGGCCTAACTAGTGTTGTAAACAGGGGTTTAGTGATATAAGGGTCACAAAATTCTTTTGACCATCGTTTCACAAATGCAAGTACACTTTTATGTTGACTGTCACATTAATATCAAGGTTAAAATTAAGCTTAGGATCCATTGTGATACCAAGGTCCACAAAATTGTATACCTATTCCAGGTTATGGTTACCTATTGTATAAGAAGCGGGATGAAAAGCTCTTCGCGAGAAGCTCATTACTTTACATTTCTTAAGATTTAGAGGCATAAGATTTACTTGACACCAGTAAGCCATGCTGTCTACGTCTGATTGTAGCAAAGACCTTTCTTTAATTGAAACGTACGATTTATAAAGCTTTACATCGTCTGCATACATTAATTTTGGAAAATTGCATATCTGTAGAAATATCGTTTATAAAAAGCAAGAACAGAACCGGGCTAAGGTGGCTACCTTGAGGGACTCCTGAAGTAACATCAATGACGTCAGAGATAGTATTTTTAACCAACGTAGAAAATTGGGTGGAAGACCAAGAAGATCAAGTTTGTAGATGAGCAACGAGTGGCACACTTTGTCAAATGCTTTAATGAAGTCAGTATATACAGTATATTTTGCTTTGCTGCCTTTATGATTAAGTGCTCATTTAAGATACCTACCCCAAAATGCGCATCAGAGGCATTATTTTTAACATTTATAAGGAAACTGCTCCGATAGATGCATTCTACATACCTACACATTGACAATACCTGCCTTATAAATTGTGCAACTAGTATCAATTATCCAAGTTTACCTGCACTGGCCCTACAATTACCTAATTTTACAAGCTTTTATTTATTTTGCTCATCTGAACTGATTTGTTATAATTGCTTCAAATAATTTTAGGAATTGCAGAAAGCTTAGCTATTCCCCGGTAGTTCTCCACTGAAGATCTGCTACTGCTTTTATGTAACGGGGTT